TCCCTGTGCTCACAGCAGTGTTGGCCAATTTCACTGTAACTGGTTGTTAATATTCTCTATGCAGGCAATAAACACCCCAGCAAATCTGCTTTTATGGGCACTGCAAGAACCTGAATAATTTGTTCAATAATGAGCAGACCAGTGTCCATAATTACATAGCAGAACTCTGTCCTTTTGAAAACCCATCACTGCCTCAGACCCAGAACACCACCAAGGGCCTCGTGGGCTGCAAAGAGAACCTCAGCTGCAAGAAGCAAAAGGTTTAAGATCTAATGAATGTTACATGGGCTATTGCTGCCATTTCTCCATCAAATGCAGAGCCCCAGCAGTGACTGCCTGCTGCAGCTGCTTCCACCAGCACTGATGCTGCAGGAAATCCCTAAGACCAGGGATGCTGATGCTGTGTTCATCTCATATCTCCCCATCTCCATGTGCTCTGCAGTTTCAGGGAAGAAATCCCCCTATTGGTTGTTATTAAGAGGAATTCTTCCCCAAAACTGCACTGTCATGGACAGATGGACCTTCTGCAGGTCTGCTGCTTCATTCAGTCCAGAGCTTGCAGGTATTTGGGACATGGAGCTCCCACATGAATAGCTCATGGCCAAACCAAGTGCATTTGCCCCTAGATACAGTGGAATTAAATTTGGAGCCTGCCCTAGCTCTTTGCATGTATGTCTCCAGAGCTACAGCTCCCTTCCCAGCAGGAGGCTTGGCTTTGAGGGATCTGCCAGCAAGCTCAGAGCCACGAGAAATAACAACTTGGGAGCTCAGACAAGCTGGTTTGCAGGCAAACAAAAGCTGAAGCTGTGAAAGTGTGAAGCAGTCAATGCAGCGTCTGGCAGCACAGCCTCACCTCCGCCTTAATCCTCTTTCCCTTCTTAAACTCTAAATTAATCAATTACACTTCCAGCCCGGCAAAATCAGTCAGAAATGTAACCTCCATCATACACAAGGCAAACATAATTAGGATTGTCATTGGAAGCCAGCTTGACCAGCATACAAATGAGAGCAGCCCCGTGGCGGGCAGGGACGTTGGGACTGCGGCCACAGCCCGGCTGTGCTGGGGAAGGGCAGCTCCAGCAGGGACTGCCATGGCACTGGCACTGCTCAGAGGGGCATGGGGAAAGGGCAGCAGGGACTGCCATGGCACTGGCACTGCTCAGAGGGGCATGGGGAAAGGGCAGCAGGGACTGCCATGGCACTGGCACTGCAGAGATGGGCATGGGGAAAGGGCAGCAGGGACTGCCATGGCACTGGCACTGCTCAGAGGGGCATGGGGAAAGGGCAGCAGCTCCAGCAGGGACTGCCATGGCACTGGCACTGCTCAGAGGGGCCAGGGCACATCAGGCAGTGCACACTCCAGGAAGCCCCTTTGGCTGTGCCAGGGAGGAAGCCACAACCTTCCCCAGACACAGATGGGAGCCCAAAGTCCCAGCCCAGCTACACAGGCTGCAGACCCTGCAGGGATGGATGACATGGAAATGAGGCCTTGGACACCCTGGCCATTACTGCCAGTGTGGATTCATAAATGGGGTGAGCAATGGTTACCCCCTCCCCACCCCACTAATGGGAAACTGAGTCACAGGGGCCAAGTGATAGCACGAGCAAGGCAGAGTGTTCAGTGAAAGCATCAGCTCAAAGCTTGAGCACAATCAAAAAAATCCACGTGAGTGCTGGCAGGCAGAGCAAGATCACAAACCCAGCGTGCTCCCATGGCTGCTGTCCCACTGCAGCAGAGGCCACAGCAGGGCTAAAGGAGAGGAAGGAACTTTTAGTTAAGGATGAAATGGTTTCTGTACAAGTCCAACACTCTTCAATTTGGGAAGCAGAAACCTGAGAGAGGGCACCGCAGGGGTTTATCTGAGAGTGACTTAGAGAAAATGAAAGAGGAATGAGTGCCTGCTGCCTCTTCCAATATTTAAGCTACAAAAGCATCAAATGAAAACAGTGAGTGACAGATTCAGAACAAAGTAAATATTTCTTCACACAGCTGAACAGTACCATAAGTTGCTGTGGATACCCAAAATTTTCTCAGGCTCAAAAAATGGTTTAGGAAAAACTTGAAAATCCTATTAAATGCAGAGATCCACATCTCAGGAAATTGCTGAACTATGGATGGCTGATGGTAAGGAGAGTACCCAGCAACACACTGACCTACATCCCCCTGGTTTTATCCTCCTTGCTGGACATCCTCTGTTAACCACTGCTAATTGAGGATCCCAGGGGAAAGAGGAATGGGATCCTGTACTGATCCTGTACAGTTGTTCTCCTGTCCTGGCACTGATCTGAGCTCTCCCCACTTGCCTGAAAGACAAGGAACTGGGAACATTCCCATTCCTGGGCACTTGGGTGACAAGGAGATGTGCTCATAGCACAGAATTTGAGTGAATAGAGAAAGGATCTCTGCTTTCCTTTTTTCCCATTTCTCATGTTAGGAGCAATTTTTGGTAAAATTAACTCAGTCATGCTGCACCCAGCTAGATGCAGTTGGCAGCACCATGTACCCTGTGTTCAGTTTAGAAACAAGATAACATCCTTCTGAGAGGTGCTAAAATACCCACGGGGATGGGATTTCCAAGTCTCAAACCCACAGCTTGTGGTCCTTGTGAGAAACCCCAGCTCCTACTCTGTTGTACCAAACAAGCTCTTGAGCTGATCTATCTCTGTGTAAAGTTTATGGGTGCCCTTGGCACTGCAGCAGAGATGAAAGAAAGCTGGGGACACTCGTGTAGATTGGTATCTCCCAGGTCTTGCACGCTGGCTCACTCTCCCCTAGGGCTGCATTAGGACCAGAGGATGCAGACTCTGACCACTCTTTCCAAGCAAACTCCTGCCTCCTCCCCTTGCTGACCATCTCAGCTATAGAAGTGCATCCACTCCCTGTCATGTGCCCTTTGGAGGCACACACAGCTAGGGCAGCATTATCTCAGCCTACAGAGAGCTGCTGGCCAGGCATTCTCCTTCAGGGAAGCCAAGTGGAGCACTGGTGTGTTTCTCATTAGCTCCCATTATCCATGCTATTGTAGTGCTCCCAGTGCTAAAGCACAGCCGGGAGACAGCTGGGCTGCCCTGCAATTGTTTGTTTGTTAAGAGGATTTGCTCTGTGGCAGGATATTTCCAAGCCACATGCAGAGGAGGGGTGTCCTGGTAACAGTGCCATCCTCTGAGCCACTTGTGTGCCCTGGTTCTCTCCACTGCCTCAGAACAACCCACCTGGTTTCACCCTCACTACGAGTAAACTGCAGATTGTGTTTCCTTCTGACTCTCAGAGATAAGGGGTGAGACAAGTGAGCCATACAAAGCCATTCTGCTGATGAACTGATGCTCTGGTTCCACATCCACTATTGCTGCTGCTCCTTTCAGCAGCACTCAGAGCAGGGCAGGCAGGAGCAGGGATCTGTGGTACCCTGTCCAGCTGCCAGACAGCAGGGAAAGGCCATCATGCACCCCTCCTTTACTTTTACTTTTTGTCCTTCCCCTTGCTCCCGGTGATAATCCTGCAGCTGTAACACTGCACCCCATGTGAGTGATTTTCTCTTGACCCAGCCCTCTCCCAAAGCTCTCTGACCAGACCCAGAAGTCCTTACTCAGCACCTACTCCCTCCAAATGGGATTAGCTTGAGTCAGTCTCAGCCATATCTCAAGATCTGTTGATGCTAATTTCCCTCCTGCAGGTGCTCAGAGCAGGAAGGGGACAAATGGGCAGATGGACAGTCAGGGCTTTTGTCTGGTCAGCTGAGGAAAATTCTGAGAAGGGCCCTCAGAATCTGACCTACCATGGTTAGAGGGTGGCACAGACAGTGACAAAATTAATGCAATATAAATTAGCCAGGTTGCTTTATAGTCCAGCCCCTTTTTGTCTCTGTCTCTTCAAGCCAGACAGGGATCACCAGCAGAGTGTCTGAAAGAGGCTGTCATGATGCAAAGCATCCACACTTCCATCCCCATTCATGGCTCAGAGGAAGGTTGAGAAGGAAAATGATCCTTGCAGGCTCTGTAGCACAAAAAGCCATGGCCATCCCCATTTCCCCATAGTGAGAGCCCAATAGCCACAACATTCTTCCACAGATGCATTGGATGATGCTTGCCCATGGATGCACAAGGCAGAGGGAACTCCAGGTTTGTTCCTATAGCTGTGTGCCCTCACATTACAGCTCCCCCTGCTCTGCATGCAGGACTCACAGCCTGCCATGGGCACCTGGGCTCACTGTGCTCATAGTTAGTCCTGATAGAAGTCAGTTTAGGGCTCCAATTCCAAAAGGTAGGGGAGGCTGAGCCACTGGTTGTGCTGGGAGCATGATTGAGCTGCCTGTAAGATCTTGGTGGCTGGAGATGGGATCCAGGCTTTGTTTTTTCCCATCCTGTTGGATGGCAGTGATTTTGTCTGAGGGAAAGCATGTGCTAAACTTGCTGTGCACTGCTGGAGGAGGGAAGAATGCACACAAGGAAAACAGTTCTACCCACAGCAGGTGAGGAACAGTGCCAGCATCGTACTAGCAGTTGCAGATGACGGGTGGTGGGCAAAATTCCTGCCACTTTCTAGATTAGTAAAACACCTCCTCTGGGTCCAACAGCAGACTGATAGAAAACACAGCCCACAGAAGCAGTCCCTGCAGATGGTGTGTGTTGAACTACTATTAATCCAGACAACCTTTTGCGATGTTTAAAGAGTTTGTCCCGGCATAAAATAGCTGGATGGAAGGAGCAGTCTCGGCAGCATCCGCGTCTCTCTTTGTCCTCCCCAGCGAGCATCTCCGGGCAGAGCAAGCCCGGGAGGAGGAGGCGCCTGGGGCGCAGCGGCAGCGGGGCTGCCCGGCCGGGCAGAGAGGAGGCGGGCGCAGAGCAGGAGCCCCGCGGCACCGGAGCCCCGGGAGCTCGGGGAGCCGGGGCGGGGCCGGCCGGGCGGGGCAGCCCGGACCCCCCGCCTTCCCCGGCGCCTCCCCCGGCCCGCAGCCCGGAGCCCGGAGCCCGCCCGGTCCGGAGCGCGGCGGAGCGCGGCCATGGGCTCCCGGCTGAGCCGGCAGAGCAGCCTGGAGGAGGAGAGCGGCGAGGAGCCATGCCCCGGCAGGCTGGAGAGCGGCCGGGGCGACTTCCACCTCTCCTCGCTGCTGCTGCACCCGCAGAAGCTGCCCGGGGTGCTGCGGAAAGCCTCGCCCGCGCCCTACGTGCGGCGGGTGGGGTGGCTGCGGGAGATCCAGGCCACCATCCGGGAGCACAAGCGGGAGCACGCCGTGCACATCCTCCGGCTGCTCAGGAAGGTACCTGCGGCGGCATGCGGGATGCGGGATGCGGGATGCGGGCAGGGCAGGGACAAAGGGCCGTGCGGGGCCGGGGGCTGCAGGAGCCGCGGTGCAGGAGCCCCCTGCCCGGCGCTGGGTGTGCAGCCCTCCTTGGGGGGCTCTTTGTGCTGCCTTTCTCCGCTCCGTGCCCCGCTCCGTGCCCTCCGTGCCAGGCGGCACCAGCCACCTCCCCGACCCCCGGGCTGGCACAGAGAGGGGCTGGAGGGAGCTGCGAGGGGGACTGGAGAAGGGGGGTCCGGGCTTGGGCTGTGCCCATCCACACCCCTCCATGGCAGCCCGAGGGTGTGCTCAGGATTGATGCCCCTCCAGAAAAAAGCCACTGCCGCCCCGCTGCCAGCACATCCCATCATGGCCACTCAGCCATCCTGGGAAACCCCAAAATGGCTTTGGAGGGCACCTCTGGGACAGTCGAGGCTGAGAGGAGAGGTAAAGGGGTCAGTGTATCAGTGGGAGCATGTTTCAGTCTGCCGCCATTCAGGAACAGAAAAGGCAGTGTGCAGACAGTGTGGTGCCAAACTGATGCTGAGGACAGAGCCCTGCTGCTGGAACGGAGCCATCTCCTCCATCACTCACTGCTACCATCACTTTCCAGCCAAACTCAGCTGCCCCAAACTGCAGGCAGCTCTGTGACTGGTAGCACAGGGGACAAAGCCCACCTCTGATGTGGACATCAGACACCATCAGTTTGTAGCTTGTCATGTTGCTTCATTAGATAACGATCATCTAACTTCCTCTTGGCAATGTACATTATCTCTTGCCTTAGTAGCAAGTGGCCTTTGGGTGTGAGTGCAGTGGGGCAGGGACTGGCTCACTGGATGCTTGTTCACCCACACCACTGGTTGTGCTGCATGAACAGCCCTGCCTGCTTTGCATGTCCAGGGTTTTACAACACATCTGACAGTGGTGCTCACTGCCTGGGCTACCAGGAAGTTACAAACTCACAGGTGAGAATCCACAGGACCAAAAATTAACACTCTGCTTCTCCTGTCCACTACTTAAGCATTCGCTTGAAGATTGTTACCAGCACCACAGTTTTCTTGCCACACATGTAGGCAGATAAACTCACAGCAGAAAACCTCTGTGTGTGCACCGGTATGGCAAACAAGGGTTAAATAAGATTTCTAAGGCAGTTTTGGAGAGGCATTATTGCAAGAGGCTTGTGAAGACATAGAGGCAACCACTCACTTCATGGATGTGGCAAGGTAACATGAACAGGCTTTTCTAGGGTATGCCAGAGGCCAGAACTACAGAATGCCATTTCCACCTCTCCTGGAGACTGGAGCACTGAAACCTTCCACAGACCCGGGAGGTCTCCAGAAGGTCCATCTGTGAACAGGCAGGGTTTGAGTGCTAAGGCACAGGGCCATATGGAATGCAGGGTCATTTCTAAGCTCCTTTCAGGATCAGTTGAACACCTGGCTTCCCCACATCTGTGCTTGAGGATTACCATGTCATGGACATTCACGTTTTGCCTGCAGCCTTTCCAGTTCCCCATGTTATTCCTGGTCCCCAATTCTGCCTGGCCATGTTGAAACAGTGACTGTCTGCCCATCTGCTCACAACAGAACAGTGGGACATGCATCCTGTAATCACAACATCCTCTGCCAAGCAAGATGGGAACCCAACCCATCCCAAAGCCTCTGGCTCATTGAGCACTCAGGTTTCAGAGATGGAGGGTTTACACCACTAACATGTACCACACCCCAGGCTGGGGCCATGTAATCACCACCAGTCCTCCTTACATGTCCAATGTCAGCTTCAGATCAGCCTTTTTTTCTAACTCACAGATTTTCCTCACTCCACAGCTGCATTCACCCCTTAGCCTGGTCCCCAGCTGTCCCTCCTTACCTTGGCAGTGTCACGCTCTCGGGAGTCACGGATTAGTGTGTCCCAGGTGAGGGTCTGTTTGTTACCTGGAAAAAGAGAGATACCTGTTCACTCTAGTGGACAGGGAGGATATTTAACACCACACCTCATCACTGTGCCTTGGGCCAGGGTGCAAACACCCCAGGGAAGGCAGAGAAACGGTGGGACTGGAATTGCAGCCTGCTCAGGTGAGCAGAGAGCTCAGCCAGAGCAGAGGACACGGGATCCCCTGTGTGCCTCCACTGCTCCAGCACATCCCCCTTGCCCAGCCCTGCAGGTGTACCCTGCTGATGGATCTGCCAGTGGTTTTTCACCTGTGGGCTGCAGAACTGTTCCTAGGGTGTTCAGAGGGTGTGATCATGTAAAGCAAGCAAGGCAGGCAGAAGCAGATCCACTAAGAGAGATGTGAGATCCCAGCATTTCAGAGGACTGCATGGAGAACAGCTGCAAGCTGCAGGTGCATGTGTGCCTTGTACATGAACACTTGGACAGCTCCACTGCACACCATCTACCCCAGAAATGCCACCAGCAGAAGCCAGATCAGCTTTCCTGCTGATCTAGGTGGGCATCACTCAGCTGAAGCCCAGGGAGACATTAGACTTAGACCAGCAAAAAGTCTGCTATAATCTGTTTTCCCTGTGCTGAGACGATGGCAAAGTGTCACTTTTAAGACAACAGCACTAAGCCAGCTGAACTGGCAAGAGTTATAATATTCTGCTGTCTGCAGCCACCTTGTAGCTGGTACAAAATTTTCCAAGAAATGAGAGAGAGAGGGAGGGAGAGAGGGAAATAAGTAAGATGAGCTGAAAAATGCCTCTGGGCTAAGAATTTATGGAATATCAATGTGAAGTGAACATTTACAGCTATAATACTTAAAAAACCCTTGCAGGCAGGATTTATAATGGGAATGCAGATTCATCTTAATGGTATAGCTCCAACTGGGGGAGTTTAATTACTGCTCTGACATCCACTGCTGCATGCCCAGCCATGCCATCCTCACAGCAGCTTTCTTCATCTGTGCACATTACACTTGGTGTGGGAGGCTCCATTTCCCTGAAGCCTTATGGTTAAGGGAGACACTGGCATGATGCCTTGGCAGGCTCCTGGCCCATGTCCAGCTGTGGCTGTCTGTCCTTCAGGACTGATCCACTGCTTGGGTTTCTTGCCTGCTTACAGGTGCCGTTTGTGCACACAGAGTGATGGGGCTGTAAAGTATTTAATTTATTCTCCCTTCCTGTGTCTCTAGCCAGGGTCTCTTTGGGATTGTGCTTCCTGCTCAATCCAGCATATCCAGAGCAGGATGCAGCACTGGCTTTGATTGGTGCTTGGAGTAAGGATCCCAAACCTCTGCCAGCAATGGCTCTGCCCCTGTTGGTGATGTATGTGCATACATCCAGCTTTTTCCCCCCCTCTCGCTCCATTTTTTTTTTTAGCTCCCAGTCACTGGGTGGTGCCTGAAACACACACTCAGTAGAGCAGTGTGAACATATGGGGCACCCATTTGCTTATTCATTTCTCCTGTCAGCTGCATACAGAATGGGGAAAAGACTTGTTTCCTCCCTTAGCTGAGCCCTCCTTATAAACTGAATCAAACCCAGCACTATCCCTACTAGAGAGTTTTTCTGTTCTACATCTCTGCTCCTAGGGTATTTTTTTCATATGTGAATATGTGATCTCTCTTTCCCACATTTTTTTTAAATATTGTTTGTTTTTCACAGCTCTGTGGTACCTTCTGATTGCAGTAACTGTGTCAGTATATTAGCTCTTTGCTTTCCCCTTAGCAAGAAACATCTTAGTTCTTTGCAGTATTATCCATTTGGCCCTGGGAAGGCTTTTTGTTCCCAAAGATGCTGAGGTTTCCTCCAAAGGTGCCCCATCCCCTGGTCCACAGAGGATGGACTACAGATGGCCCTAACTCACACTGTGGAAGATGGAAGAGGAGCTCCTCTGACTGTGGTGTAAAGCCACCTCTAAATTTACCACTGCACCCCATCCTGAGAAATTCACAGCACAGCTAAACTCACACAGGTGGGCAGGACTTCTGCTCAGCCAGCCACCACCAGGGCATATGGCAGCATCTAAATACCTGAGAAAGGTCTGATTCTTCCAGAAAAGCTGAGATTGGAGAAGCAGCTTTAGAGCCAGCCTTCCTGCTTGGCTTCTTCAGCAGATTCACACATAGAGCTGACAAAACTGTGTTTCTCTGAAGTTAATTCTGTCCAGGCTCCAGCCAGCCTGGAAATGATAGAATTCTCACCTTCCTGTGGTAGGTGGAAATAAGGTGGACTAGCTCCAATTAACACTGCATCTCATCCAACTCTCGGGCTGCCTCACCCCCAGCACAGTAATGCTGGGTCAGACACGGCTGCTTCACCTCTGCTGGATCATTTCCTGTACTGGGCATCCAGCTGGCACCACAGCAGATTTACTTTCTGGTTTCAGAACATCCCATGGATAGAGCTCTGAGGAATCCCGTGTGCCTGACTGTCTGTTTTTGTTGTAGGACCTAGGACTGGAAGGAACATTTCTCAATGAAGTGCTCTACAAAAATGCAACTTTCCTCAACTTGGTGGATCCCATCTCTCATGACCTGCTGATGAGCCTTGCCAGAGATCTGCAATGTCCCAAAAAGGTGAATTCTCCCTCAGCTCAGTGAGAGCTTTGTGGCACAGCACTGATGAAGCTGGTGCTGCTTCTGGGGCAGCTGGTGCTGCATCAATCCTCCAGAGCCAGGCAGAGTGTGCCCTGGGAATGGCAGTGTGTGCATTGTGGGGCATATTTCTGTAGAAATCAGTTAAAACTACCTCAGAACATGAACAGCTGAAGGAGGGGATGGCTACATTCACAGATATTAGGAAATTACTTTTTGTGTCCATAGTAAACTTAGTGACAGGGCAGAGAGCCATAATCAGTGGTATCACAGGGGTTCAAAGCAATTAGAGCTCATGGAGCTGCAGGGGAGAGCAGAGATCTCTGCAGGAAAACTACCTCTCTCTTCCTGGGCTCTTTTCCATATGTAACTACCTCAACCCAGCATTATTTGAGCCCCTAAAAATCTCAGGGTTCCCCACAGAGAATGGTGCTGCAGGAATATTTTGCCACTGGGGGTTCAGGAAGTAAATGTGTGATGTGCACAGCATCCCTGCAGGCTCCAGCACTTTCCTTCAGAGGATGAGGAGGGCAGAGTAGAAAGGCAGGGCTGAGAACTGACAAACATCACAGATGTCCCAGTCCCACTGCAACAACCAGCATCTATTTCTGTTACCCTTTGCCACCACAGACACTTGGATTTGCAATGTACCCATTTGCTCATTAGGCTTGGCAAGTGTCATGTTTGCTTTATAAGGAGAGGAATAGAGTGAATTTCTTTATTCAAAGAGAGATATTAAGAACACAGAGCTCAGAGCAAGCAGCAGTGCCCCAGGGAATACATTGAATGCCTGGTGTAGATTAGTGGCATTTCTAACCTTGTTCTGCCATCTCCTGATAACAGAGGCTCACTGATAACAATTAACCAGTCATGTCTCAATAGACAAACCACATTTAGCCAAAGTTTAATCATCATTATTAGGCTGTAGCACAGCCTGACAGCCTGAGAAAAAAAACAAAAAACCTTTCGAAGAGTAATGTCTGTGTAATTCATGTAAGCATTTGAAGGAAGGGCTGGCAGTGGTATCTCTTTAACCACACCTCACCTGACCTCATCTCCAGCTGTTCTACCAGACCTTCTCCAAGCCTGTGCTGTGCAGTGCCCCTCAGGGCAGGCAGCAGGAGGGGACCTTGCTCTAATCCAGTGCCCATGTGTTTGGCAGATAACACATTGCCATTTTTATACACCTGCTTATCCCCCCTCTCTACTTTCATGCCTTATGGATGCACTGACACACGTACCATTGCACAAGAAATTGTTTTCCCCATTCCTAAGGAAGATGTTGAGCACCTGAGTTGCCCTTCAAAGCCAGCAGAGGTTTAATGATTTAATTAAATTCTTGTAGAAATTCAGTACCTACAGCACCAGCACCCTTCCCAGAACAATGCCAGAGCACGTCCCCTCTCCGACCCTGGCTGAGCATCTGGTGGGTGTAACTGCATTACAGGCAAGCAGGCTGAGTGCAATTCCCAGTCTGTCAGTGGAAATTAAATCAGAGAGGACACAGGAAAGAACAGGAGGGTAACTCTCAGCTGGGAGCCAACAATCACTCACAGGGCTCTGTGCCAGCTGCTGTGCTGGAGCCTCTGTGCACGTGCACCCTCTTGGAGAGGTTTGCTGTTGTAGGTGACAGCAGAGTGCCAGCTGCAGCCCTGCCAGCACGGAGTCTAGAACGTGGCACCTAAGCCAAAGGCATGGGCCAGTCCCTATGGGGCTCCTAGGGAAGCTGGGATGGGGATCAGGGGATGCTCAGCTGAGCAGAAGGCTGGGATCCCTCTCCCCATGCTGGCAGTGCATCCCTGGGGAGTTCAGCTGCTTCAGGGGCTGCTGAGCAAAGTCACAGAGCAGCTGTTGGCCCCCAGTGCAGAGCTTTAACTGCTCACAGTAAGGAATAAATCAGAGCATTCCCTGACAGCTTTACTGGTGTTCACCTATCAAATCCCTAAATGCACATGTGGCCCCAGGGCTGGAGGGCTGAGGGGTGAGAATGCAGGTGTCTGTCAGCAATTGGAAAATGCAATAGGGAAGGCAGAAGTCCCAGCCTTCAGCAGCTGCCATTTGCCATTCTGCTTCAGCAGAGGAAGAGGTTCTGTTCCAAGTCATGGCACTAAAGAACATGTGCAAAAATAACCCAGGAAGGCAACAACCATGTGGGTGCCTTCTTTTCCTGACGAGTTAGTGCAGTGGTGGGAGGGAACTGCTGGCATTGCAAGCTCCCAAACTCAAACCTCCTGTAGCAGAGTGGACTGCAAGGAAGTAAGATGGACTATGGACTAAGTTTCCTGTCCTGACATCTCCCAGCTAGAGCACAGGAGGCTGTGGAGTCAGTGTGTTACTGCAGGAGGAGCAGGAAGCACCTTGGGGATGGGCAAGGGTGCCACTTACTGACCTTTCCACATCAGGGTATCAGATAGTCCAGAGACAGAGTTTGGGGAAGCACAGCAGCAAGGTAATTAACAGAATTAACAGAAATTTAGCACTGTCCTGTAACACAAGGAGTTGGCAGCACAGGAGTCCCTGAAACAGAGCATTGTCAGTCACCCCTGCCTCAGCCCTAGAAAAGGATCCCCTCTTCTGAGTTTCATTGTTCCTGGGTGGGCTGTGAAATTGTAGCCCTGCTCTGGGCAGGAACATGCTGGCTGGGCTGGGGTTCTTCCTGGCAGGGCAGAACTCCTCCTGCTCCTCCTTCACCCCAGGAGAGCTTGGCATATGGCAGAGGCATCTCAGGCCTTCTCACCATTCCTCTTTCATTCCCTCTTCTCTTCATCTGCTCCCTTACATACATGACCCTGCTCCACTGCCATCTTCATTCCTTTCCCATCTTCCTTTGCCCTCCTCCTTTTCTCATGCTGTGGTGCAGGCAGTCTAAGTTGTCCCTTTGCTTTCAGGAATACGACCCCTGGAAATCCTCAGACAGGATCTGCAGGCAGCTCATTTACCACCTCACCCCGCACTCCAAATGGCACCGGCACGGGATGCCCCGCAGGAAGTCCCAAGTGTGGTAAGAGCCCAGCAGGGATTGTGTGGATGGGCACAGAGGGGGATCTGCCTGGGCAACCCATCCAGCACTCCCCTCCTCAGAGAGAGGCAGGACTGAAAACAGTGCACAGCAGCTGCAGTGCAGCCTCTTCCAAACCCCAGCCCCAGCAGCCCCCTCTTTGATGTGTTTTGCTCCTTCCTGTGTGGTGTTACAGTTCCTCACCTTCTCCAAAGAGCACTGAAATCAATCCCCCTGAGGGCACAGCACAGACACCCCTCCTACAGGGCCTGCAGGGTGTTTGGCCCCAGGAGCATGGCCAGGGCTGCCAGCCTGTAAAAACCCCCATGTGCCAAAGGGAGCTGTTCCCAGCTCTGCATCACACCTTGTCCTAGTTTAAAGCTTCCCTGACAGTGGGAAAGGTGTCCCATTATGAGGCACTGCCCCCAGCTGATCACCCCATTCAGCAGGAACCACTCTGGGGTGGCTGGATGGGTGACCATCCTTCTTACCTCCCACTTCTCTGCCAGCACCTGGAGAGGGCCCTGGGATGGTGCAGAGGCACAGAGAACCCAACTCAGAGCATGTTGGTCACTGGATGGCAGCTGCTTTTCACTACTAGAAGTGTATTTGGACACCCACACTTGTTCCCTCTTTGACACTTGCTGTTTTTTCTGCCCAGATAAAGAGCAATCCCCATGTCTTTTAAATTAACCCATCCTCTTGTCATTTTCTTGGAGCAAACCCTGTTCCTGTGACACAGATCAGCACTGCTGAAGAAAAGACAGAGAAGTGACTAAGAAAAGAGCTCATGTCAGCCCCATTAGATTCACAGGAATAAATGCAGGATTGGATAAAAAGAAATGCAAAATCAGCAGCACTCTGAGAATGGCCTTGGGCTTTTCTGATGCTTTTGGTCTTTGATGTGTGTGCCAGCAACTTAAAATCCCCCATGAGAATTGACATTTCCATCATACCTTTCATTCTGACTCAGAGGCAGGTTCCCAGTGCATGTTAAGGAATAAATCCCTAATGCCATGATTTCCAGGCCATCTGCCTCTTGCACCCACTTTGCCAGGAGCTGAGCACTTCCAGTGCTCTCACCCCCAGCACCCACAGGGCAGGATTGTTTGTGCTGCTTTGCAGGTGCCAGGCACAGCTCAGAACAAGACTGAGCTTTCAGAGATGACTGAGCCCTTTTCCAGACCCACTCAATGACATTTTCCCTGTAGGATCCTGCAGAATACTGGAGATGCAGGATATAGATGGCAGTTCTCACCTCATCCCTGTCCCCTCCCAAGCTTAAAGAGAAGAAGTTCAGATCTCCAAACTCCTGCTTGCAGGCAAACCTCTTGTCCAGCTGGACTTCAGGATGAAGGGTCAAACTGGAAGTGTTCCCTGTGATTGCACAGCCTGGGGACAGCAGAGGACTGCAAAGTGCTGCAAACCCATCCCTTAGTAACAACAGAGAGGAGGTTTGTGGCCAGAGGAAGAGCTCTGGGTCCAGTGAGCAGCCCAGATAGAGGGGTCAGGCCTCACAGAACACCTGTGAGCACAAGCAGGGAGAGGGCAACAAGGCAATGTGCAATAAGTCTGAAATGGGCTGCCCTGCCTGGCTACCACACCCAGTTACAATGTGTTACATAAGGCACAAATTAATTTTGATGAAATATTTAACAGCAGAGCTTTCTCTTTTAAGTGTGGAGATGAAATGTTTTGCAGTTTGCAGCAAAAGACGCCTGCAGAGTTGGCATCTGAGGCCGCTGCAAGAAAATGGGTGTTGCCAGTAGCAGGAAGGCAAGAAATAGCTGCTTCATTTGGAGATACCAAGGCACAAGTTTGTTTAGGGAGGCTGTTTTTACATGATCCACATTCTGCACTTCCCTCTGTCTGCTCGTGGGAGTATTTTACTACAGTGTCTGTCTCAAAGCCTGTGCCCTTGGCTTGCACCCTTCCTGCTCTTTAGGTCCTGCAGAGAGCATGGGTGTAGCTGCAATACTTTGAAGGAATTTCTAAAATCTAGTGGGGGTTAAGGACAGCAGGGAGGATCTGTGCATGGAGACCACATTCAGAAACCAAATTCTCCTCTTGCTTTTGCAGCCTCCTGGGCTTTGGCATCTGGCTTTCACAGAGCTGATGCCTGACTCCCTTGTTCTCTGAAATGCAATTTCTACTTTCTGCAGCATGTTAGATGGGTCCAGGAGATAATTAGCAAGCTCAGCCATACAGAGAGCTTGGAGCATCTGCCAGGTTTTAATTACATTTGGGCTGTTATGGAGATGTGGTACTGCAATACTGGAGTCAGATGATGCACCAGGTGTTGGTCCCCACTGCCAAACCAGTGGGTCACAAACAACTTAACAGCAGTTGCATCCCCAGCTGCTCTCAGTGGGACCCACATCCAGCAGGTGCACACCTGAGCCACCCATCAGCTGGTAAAGCAAAAAGGATAAGAGACATTTCTTCAAGCACTGCTGTTTCAGTGCACAGGCAGAGCCCATACAGAAATGTGGAAGGATAAAGCTCATTGTGGGTCCATGGAGTCAATGCAAAGGCAGCTGGAGGGAGCAGGGATCATCCAGCCCAGGCTCTGTCTGGTTCCTGTGCTTGACTGAAGTGCTGAGGGTGAAGCTGGGAGCCAACTTGCCCTCTGCATCCATGCCTGTGGGCTCCCTGGAGTGGCTGTATGCCTTGTACAAGGAAGGGTTGCAGTCCCAGCTGTGCAGCCACCCAAAGAGACTATTTCAGCTGCCCTGGTGATACTCAGACTAAGACACTGAAAAGAAGAGGCTTCTTTCCTGCAAAATCCTGGCTCAGGTTTGCAGCCAACAGCCTGCACCCCACTAGCTCTGCCCTACTTGGGTTGGCTGCCTAACCAAACTGGGAAGATAAGCTCTTGCAGATTTACTCTGGGGGTTTTAAAATTGAAAGCTCAAAAGCTGGAGGATAAGATTTCTGCAGCTTTTTTTTTTTTTTTTTTTTTTTTCAGCAGGGACTAGCATAACTACTACACAATTTTCAGTCTTTTATGTCCTAGAGGGAATTTAGTTTTAGCACCATTTTACGGTTGTATAGATCACTCCCACTTAATGAGCAGAATACATCCTGGAGTGTTGTATAACTCCAGCTTCACTTTCTCATTAAATTGATGTTTAGTGTGTAAAGAGTAATGGATTAAGAAATGCTCCTTTATACAGACATAGACCTTTTAGGCTATCAGTGCCACTTCTGTGGCATTTTTGACAGATGCAGAACTTTCAGATGTTATTAATTCTTGTTTTCAGAATTCTTGGGGCCTCTTGCCATGATGAATTCAAGAAAACTGTCACCATCTGCTGCCAGAACAGGGTGGGACCCAGAGGGTGTATTATTTTTTGAGGGCCAGACACACTGGGCTTCAGTTCAGAGCAGAGAGGGAGAAGGGTATCAGGTGAAGACTGCCTTTGTCTGGAGAGCTGGATCACAGTCTGGTACTGTGATTAGGAAGCTCTGGATTACAACTGAACTGTCTTGGCAAGGCAGTGTCAGGGAACCTTAATGTATCTTCCACTTGCCTCATCCCCAGAGCTGGCTCCTTCAGTGTAACCACTTCCTTTCCTGAGTGCAAAGGATCAACCCTGGCTCCTCAAAGCAGGCAGGCAGCAGACACAGCTTTATAATTGTGACCAAAAACCCCAGATTTTTCACACAGTGGCTGGTTCTGGAAGAGCAAATGCAGTCAGTTGTGTGTATGGAGTTAACTCCCACACCACATGTATGTGGCCTTTCCTTTTCACAAATCTCACCACAGCTTTACTTTGCTCATCTGAGTGGATTTCATCATGGCTAATCCAGTATCCCTTCTGGGCTTATTGCTCCCTTTCTGTTATTGATGTGCACTGGCCAGACATTGCAGCATTAGATGCATTTTTAAAATGCAGTGAAAGCACTTGTGTCTAGAGGACTTCAAGGAAACAGCTCTAAAGGGCTTCACTTTTTTTTTTTTTTTCCTTGAAAACATCACTCAGCACTGAGGCTGACAGTTCTGGCAGATGAGATCCCAGCCTTCACATGGCATGAGGAGAATATTAACTACAGCTTCGTGTCACCCTTATGCAACAGGGTAAACAGGCCCCATCATTCCTGCTCCAGTGAGAGGAAGCCAAGTCAGTTAACTAAAGCCACATGGAAAACATCATATGGGACTGCAGGAACTGCCCCACACACTGTTTCCAAGGAGCTGCTGCTCACAGAGATGTCAGATGGACAGACATGAGCTGGTGGATGAGTTGTGGATTGGAGGCAGGAATTGTGCCCTCATCTTACAGTTCTGAGCGTCCCAAACACTGCCCTGAGGAGGGTTCCCAGCAGGAACCATACATTGGAGGGTTCCTACACATTTGGAAAGGCTGTTGGAGGTGGCAGAAAGGGTCACCCAGCAGCTTGACACTGCCCTGCCAGAGTCAGGAGTAAAAAGGCCAAGACTGGCAGGCAAGAGAAGCAGGACACTGGTGGGCAGACAGTGAGGCTGCGTGGAAGGGGGCAGTGAAAAGCAGCGACCTTGTGCCTTTGTGACTCGTACCCATGGGTCAATACATGATATTTACAGCAAGGAGGCATTCCCTGCTTTGCTAGGAGAGGCCTAAATAATGAAGGGAAACAAGCTGAGGCCTTGGACAGATCAAGTAGCAGCAGGGGGAAGGCCAAGGGCTCACAGGTCTCTTGAACACACCTTCAAGTACAAAGTGACAGCAGAGGCAGGAAAAGAGAGGCACTCAGCTGCATCAACAACTACAGATTTCCAGATTTCCATGTCCCACCCCAGCTGCAGAGGGAGTGAGACAGGAGAAGGGCTGCCTTTGCCTCCTCTCCACAGCTGGTCACAAGAGCTTGGGCACAAAGATGGAGATGTGAATAAGGGACTTCTCAAGGAAGTGACCTATTTGTGCACTGCCTCCATCCTCACAGCAGGGCCAGGATCAGCTGGGGCTGGGTTAGTCTAGGTCAGTACTTTTGAGGCTTCTCTTTCCTTTTTCATGTTGCAT